CTGGCCGTGCAAAACCCCGACCTGCACAACGCGGAGCTCAGCAAGATGCTCGGTGAGGAGGGGAGGGGTGCGGGGTTTGGGGCTGCGACTCGGGGGTGGGCGTCCGTGCATCCACCCGGCCATCTCCGGGGGTGCAAACCTTGCTCCGACTCTGGCACCCTGCGGTGCGTGCGCCCACCCCGGCCATCCCCGGGGGTGCAAACCCTCTCCGGATTCAGTACCCCGGAGTGGGCACCCATGCACCCATCGGCCATCCCCGGGGGTGCAAACCCTCTCCGGATTCAGTACCCCGGGGTGGGCACCCATGCACCCATCGGCCATCCCCGGGGGTGCAAACCCTGTCCGGGTGGGGACCCATGCTCCCTCCCTGCCACCCCGCGGGGTCCAAGCCCTGCCCGGGTCTGGCAGCGGCACCCTGGGGTGCGTGCATCCTCCCGGCCGCCCCGTGGGATACAGGCAGGTCCGGCACACGGGGGGTGGGCACCTGTGCACCCACAAGGACACGCTGCGGGGTGCAAAGCCTTCCTGGGTCCAGCGCCCTGGGACAACATCCACCGGGCTGCCTTGTGGGGTGCAAAGCCTGACGGGGTCCCGCACCCCAAGGAGGAGGCACCCATGCACCCAACCCGCCACCCCACGGGGTGCAAACCCCAGCGGTGACCCACACTCTGGGTGCATGCACCCACCCTCCCGCCCCTCAGGGTGCAAGGCCTGATGGTCTTTCACGCCCCAGGGGACAGGCACCCATGTGCACACCCTGCCACCCCTCAGGTGTAAACCCTGCTGGGGTGCAAACCCCCGGGCTGCCAGTGCCTGGGATCCCCCAATGCAGTTCAAGGAGGGACCCCCAAATTTTCCTGACCTGTCTTCGCTGTTCCACTTTGTCCCCAAACTTACTAGCCCGCCCCGATATTGCGTGTCCAGTGGGTGGTGGTTCAGCTGTTTCTTTTGGGGGATCACAACCCATTTTGAATACACATTTGTTTCCCACTCCCCACCCCCTGTTTCCCCCTTACCCCAATCCCCGTTTTTTATGCAAAACCAAGAGGGCAAACAGAAATAACCAGCCCAGACAGCCTGAGAAAGAGCTGCCTGAATTGCAACACAGCTTTGCTGTCCAACCTCTTACCCAAAGTTTGTGTTTCCCTGGACAGCTTTGCGGTGTTTTCTTTGGTGGTTTGGGTTTTCTCCTCGCTGCTTTGCCATGCAGCATCTCAGCTTATGAGTGTTATTTCTGCTGTCTCTTTGGCAATGGGAAGGCATCAAACGCTTTGATCCGTATCCTCATTTCTCCCCCTACCCTGAGGAACAGCCTGGGGTAGCCTCACCGTGGGATACAAGCCCGCGCCCCGGCGCTGCTTCTGTCCTGTGTCTTGGGGGCATTTTGTGTTTCTCAAACACGGAGCAGCGAGTCTCAGCTTATGAGTGTTATTTCTGCTGTCTCTTTGGCAATGGGAAGGCATCAAACGCTTTGATCCGTATCCTCATTTCTCCCCCTACCCTGAGGAACAGCCTGGGGTAGCCTCACCGTGGGATACAAGCCCGCGCCCCGGCGCTGCTTCTGTCCTGTGTCTTGGGGGCATTTTGTGTTTCTCAAACACGAAGCAGCGACGTCGCGGCACCCGGGTCTCCGTACGCCCCGGTGCGAGTCCCGGCAGGGCACGGGCTGGGCCATATCCAGGGACGCCACGTCCTGACCCCCTGCTCAGCCGGGCATGGCCTCAGCTGTCCCCGCTCGGCAGCTGGGCTCTCCGTCCCAGAGAGGCATTGCAAGACCAGACCGTGGAGCTGGGAGAGTCTATTTGCCCTGATTTGTTTGCAGTGGGGCTCAGCTAACCCTGAACCCGCCCTGTTTGGGGACTTGGGATGGGGGGAGTTGGTGGACCTACGGTGGCTTCAATACCCCCCTTCTTCGCCCTCTCACTGCCATCCTGTTCTCCTGCGGGGTTTGCGGGCTGCGTCTTCCATGTGTGCCGGCTCGGATATTGGGAGCCCCTACCTTGCTCTTGGGTTGTGTGCCTGCAAGCTTTGGGTGGCGGCCCCCTTTCCCGCCCCGGTACAGCTGCCGTGGGCACTAAGGGGAGTTTTGTCCTCCGTTTCAGGCAAGTCCTGGAAGGCTCTGAGCCTCTCGCAGAAGCGACCCTACGTGGAGGAGGCCGAGCGGCTGCGGGTGAAGCACATGCAAGATTATCCCAACTACAAATACCGGCCCCGGCGGAAGAAGCAGGTCAAGCGGATCTGCAAGCGGGTGGACCCCGGGTTTTTGCTGGGCAGCCTGACGCGGGACCAAAACGTGGTGCCGGAGAAGCAGACCTGCAGCCGGGCCAGTGGGGAGAGA